CATGCTCTACTCATATGGAAAGTAAAGAGGTGCCTTGTGTACTAGAACCCATATTTATCTAACTTTATATGATCACATGAGTCTACTCCAAGTAAATAAGACTTTCAAAGCACTCTGTTTCACAGAATGGTAGCAGGGCTTTTTTTTTTTCCCTCCAGCTAAACTTTTCAAAGTTTAGAAAAGTTTTAAATGGTTTTAGAAAAGGCAGAGGAACCAGAGATCAAATTACCAACATTCACTGGATCATCAAAAAAGCAAGAGAGTTCAAAAAAAAAACCATCTATTTCTGCTTTATTGACTATGCCAAAGTCTTTGACTGTGTGGATCACAATAAACTGTGGAAAATCCTGAAAGAGATGGGAATACCAGACCACCTGACCTGCCTCTTGAGAAACCTGTATGCAGGTCAGGAAGCAACAGTCAGAATTGGACATGGAACAACAGACTGGTTCCAAACAGGAAAAGGAGTACGTCAAGGCTGTATACTGTCACCCTGCTTATTTAACTTATATGCAGGGTACATCATGAGAAACGCTGGGCTGGAGGAAGCACAAGCTGGAATCAAAACTGCCAGTAGAAATATCAATAAACCTCAGATACGCAGACGACACCACCCTTATGGCAAAAAGTGAAGAAGAACTAAAGAGCCTCTTGATGAAAGTGAAAGAGGAGAGTGAAAAAGTTGGCTTATAGCTCAACATTCAGAAAACTAAGATCATGGCATCTGGTCCCATCACTTCATGGCAAATAGATGGGGAAACAGTGGAAACAGTGACTGACTTTATTTTTAGGGGCTCCAAAATCACTCAGATGGTGATTGCAGTCGTGAAATTAAAAGATGCTTACTCCTTGGAAGGAAAGTTATGACCAACTTAGGCAGCATGTTGAAAAGCAGAGACATTACTTTGTCAACAAAGGTCCGTCTAGTCAAGGCTATGGTTTTTCCAGTAGTCATGTATGGATGTGAGAGTTGGACTATAAAGAAAGCAGAGTGCCGAAGAATTGATGCTTTTGAACTGTAGTGTTGGAGAAGACTCTTGAGAATCCCTTGGACTGCAAGGAGATCCAACCAGTCCATCCTAAAGGAAATCAGTCCTGGGTGGTCACTGGAAGGACTGATGTTGAAGCTGAAACTCCAATACTTTGGCCACCTGATGCAAAGAGCTGTCTCACTTAAAAGACCCTGATGTTGGGAAAGATTGAGGGCAGGAGGAGAAGGGGACGACAAAGGATGAGATGGCTGGATGGCATCACCGACTTGATGGACATGAGTTTGAGTAAACTTCGGGAGTTGGTGATGGACAGGGAGGCCTGGTGTGCCTGTTTATGGGGTCACAAAGAGTCGGACACGACTGAGTGACTGAACTGAACTGAACCCTTTCAAACACTCCCTCAGTGTTGTATCTTGCTAGTGAACTTGGGTAAACTGCTTTACTTCTGAGTCTTTTTCCTTCAGTGAAACTGGGCTAATAACACCTGAAACCCAGGTTGGTTATAGGAATTTAATGAGATTATGCAATGGCATAGAAGTGTGGCAAGTGGTTTTGTTCCCTTGTCCATTTTTCCCCCTTCAGTTGCTTTACTATGATTCTGAGACAAGGAAAATGCATTGCAACTAATTCCCACTCAGAAACACAGAATATTTTTATGCTAGAAATGATATAAAGATCATTGAGTTCAATATCCTCATTTTACAGATGAGAAATCTAAGATCCCAAAAGTGATGCCCCAGGTCACAAAGCTAGTTAGTATGACAGTTGAGACCAAAAAGAATGTCTTCTAAATCCCACGTTAAACCATTTGATATTAAATCACACTAATTTGGGTAGATTTTTTTTCTGTTTGCATATTTCATTTTAAAATTAATGACTACAAACGTCTATAATTTGCAAAATTACACATACTCGTTATAAACTTTAAAGCAACAATTTAAATTGCTTTAATATTACTGAATGTCTTAAATGTATTTATTTATAGATAAATATATGAGAGTTCATTAATATTAGCAAAGATTTGTTTTACATTTTTAAAAATATTTTCAAGGTATTAAATAACTTTGACAGGCAGACAGAGAACAGACTGGTGAACACAAAAGGAAAAGGTGAAGATGGGATGATTAGAGAGGGTAGCACTGAACTGCACACATTACCACATGCAAAACAGAGCGCTAGTGGGAAGTTGCCACGTGACATACGGAGCTCAACCTGGTGCTCTGTGACAACCTGGGGCGGGTGCGGGGCGGGGGTGGGAGGTTCAAGAGAGAGGGGATATATGTATACTTATGCCTGATTCATGCTGTTATATGGCAGACACCAACACAACACTGTAAAGCAGTTATCCCCCAATTTAAAAAAAGGCAAAAAAGGAAACTGTAAAGCACGTAAACTGAAAAATAAATATCTTTGACAAAGAGTAGTTGCATTTTTTTTAACTGGAGCACAAATGACCAATTTAGAATTATATAAACCATTCTTCTACCCTTTTGCTAAAAATGATTTACAACACTAATCCTAATGCTATTTTACTACAGTATCAATCAACTGGATTATATTTACATTTAAATGTTTTCTCAGTGAAGGCAGAAGTTAGTGTACAGTCTGATACTCATCTTCAGCACAGCCAGTTTCATAATGAATTTCCTATCAACAAGATAAATAATACCAGTACTAGACAAAGAAATGCCAATTTCAATTTACCTAATTCATAGTGACTATTTCTCAATATTGAGTATTTCAGAAGCTGAAAAAACTGAAAAGATAATTTAAATAACTTGCCAATATCACATACTATTAATAGGGCATAATACTAAGATTTATTTTATCCTGAAAGAGCAAAGAGAAAATTCAGTGCTGCTTTATATTTTGGTCTACTCAACAGTTACTTTAATACTAAGTAAGCGTCAATGAATTTTCCTAAATGGTCAAGCCATTAAATAAAATGACAATGCATTCACAAGAATTATGTTCTGTTTTTATTAACCAACTGTGAGCAAAAATAGAAGTTAGAGATAACAATAAATCAATTTTGAAAATCTGCATATTAAAAATAGACAATATTAGTTCATTTATAAGAAATGCAACCTTTACTGAGCCTACCAGCATTTCTGTTTCCTGGGGTACCTGAACTTCTTGGGTAACTCCCATCAAGTTACTTACTCTCTGGTTTGGATTTCAGCTTTACTAACATTCGTCTGTAAGGTGTTCCACATAATTGAATCTTCTAAATAATTTATAATATATCCCATTATGCAACAAAATTTACAATTTTAACCATTTCATAGGCCTTTGTCTAAAATTCAGTCACAGTATGCACATGAACAGTACTGCACAACGGTACTGCGGGGCTTGGATCTCCTGTTTCCTCACCCCTGCTGGCTGTCACTTACTGATGACTGTGTTCCCGAAGCTTCTGATGCTGAGGTGAGAACCTGAGAGTGTCTATCAAGGCTCCTGAGCATTAAAAACTGGGCTTTGTGGTATCTGGCTACTGAGTTATTTTTCTCTCCTTCTTTGCCTCCATTGCCAATTTTCAAATGACTGAAGCTAGCATTAAAAAAAAAAAAAAGTCACAGCAAAACAGGCTGTTGGCACCAGAAAGGGAATTCTGAAGAGAGCTCCAGGTGCCGGAACAAGGGAGCAGAACTCCCCTTAGACAGCGGCAGTAGCTAATTTGTACAATGGGATCTCCATTCCTTTTTCCCTGGGAACAAGAATCAACCTGCCCATTCTGAACTTTTCCATCCCTTATATGGCATTTGTCTCTCCACAGATAATCTAGTAACAGTCTCTACACCACCTGCTCATTAAATGCAAAAACAGAAACAAAGGCAGAAACAACAGCAGTGTAGTCAAAATACACACAGGATACAAGAGTTAAATGCTTATGACTAAATTATATGAAAATGATGTGTGCTTAGCATGTAATTATACACGACAAACATAAATAAAACTATGAATCTGAGTTTATGACTGTGGGGAGCCTAAAAAGAAGCAAGAATATACTGAGAAGAAGTAAGAATACAAAGATTTAATTTTGTCTGGCTATTGAAGAAGTTAACACAACAGGACTTCTGAAAAGCACTGGAATTCTCAAAATCATCAGAAAAATATATACACACCAGAATACATAAGTTAGAATTATAGAAAACTTAGATTTTGTTCTCTCTACATGCGAACTGAAGGAATCACAAAATTAACCAACTTTTTCCCCCCTTTCTTAATTAAGCGTTGATAACACAGGCCACAGCTTAAAAGAATAAATTCTGCCTGAATAAACTGATGACCTATATCTCTCTACCAAGGAAATTCTTATGACTCAAAGTTTCAGAGAAACTATTCTAAGCCATCAAAGATTAGCTGCCTATGAAATAAACAACATAACCCTTTTGGCCGCAACAGACTCTCATGGCTCCGAAGTAATTTTATCAGGAAAATGGAAAAATGTGAGGTAGTCTTTGAGGAACTAATAAAAATTTATTTTTACATTCAATTTTCCCTACAAGGCATGAGGAAAAAACAAACAAAAAGACATCTAATAGATTAGCCCTACTGATCTACCTGGCTTGAATAAGTAACAAATACCACTTTACTAGTGCTACAAAAGTTACCTGATTTGTAGAAAACAATATATAAGAAAGTAAACAACAACAAAACATCAAGAAAAAAAACAGAAAAAATAACCCTATACACCTTTTTTCCTTCACATAAAATCCACAGTTATCCAGTCAACATATCTACAGTATCCTGCAGCTAAGACTATATAATAGAATACTGAATTAAAACTTTTCAAAATGATACCTTGCTGGTGGCATTTGTACCCACATATTACTAAGGCAGAACCACTCCAATACCTGAAGGAGTCATAAAACAAAAGATGTATTCCTTACTCTTGACCTCAGATCAAATAAATTATTTTCTTTCCCTATTTATAAAATGAGGGAAAACTAAAAGACTATGAAAATTTATTATTGGTAAAATGCTTGTAATTTTCAGGCAAATGTTTCAGAGAAAGTCAAGTATGTGACCCCTACCTTGTTTTGATCCCAAACCTTCAGGTCGCTTGTTCTCTCTCAGGGATGAAGTAGAATCTACACAGCTGTCTTGTCTGAGGAATGAAGAGCAAATAAAAACAACTTTTTAAACAATATTCAAGGTCCTAGAATTAAGTTATACACTTGAAAAGACACAAGGAATCCTTCTCGGTCCCCAGGGTACCATTCAGTACACTCTGGAGACAGAAACATGTATGCAGGTGTCAGAACTAGCAGCTACAAACTACTACAATTTAAGTAGTATACTTCTTTGTAAAATCAAAGAGCAAACCTGGAAAGAATACCAAGGTAATTTTTTCTCCTTTCCAATACTCTGCAGGGTAGCTAATGGGAGAAATCCTAACTCACAGAAGAATCCAGTAATTTTTCAAGTTCAACTGTTAAATTTAATGGGCACTTTGGCATTCAAATCATTTTACAGTCATCTAATTTCATACCTCAAATGCTTCGATGTTTACAATATGTGGGAAATACATATTTTATCTGTAATATATATATATATATGTTATCAAAGTAAACTGATTATGTTTAAGATGCCACTAAAAAGTCCCTGATCCACTATGTTCTGCAAAAGAGCTCAACTAATACTTTTTCTTAGTACTGTACCATCTTTATACTGATGTTACAAATACTTTTCAGAAAGTCAAGAAATTAACTATTATGAATACTCAAAATGACTATTTTCTTTAAAATATGTGTCTATCACCTTCTGAGAATGTTTATACACACTCTAAGACTAACAAACTAAAAACATCTAGGAAAGTTACCTATTCACAAAACTTTATATTCACTTAATAATAAATTCCTCAAATAACTAAAGGATAAAGATGTGATTATTTCCTTGAGAAGTTTACAATTTTCTTTCCAGCCAACACATTTGGCTCTTTTAAGTTTGTTTTGTATTGAAATTTTACTAATACAAGTACAAACTCAAATAGAGATTATAAAAATATTTTAATCTGGTGTTAATTGTGACATTTTAGAAATTTAATATTGAGATATCTCAATTTTTTAAATTTCTTTTAGTCAAATGTTGATTTTATTCTTTCACCAGAATGACTAGCAGATCCCAAAGAGGATATCAACAAGACTCCCTGGCAGTCTAGGGAAAGAGTAAATGCCAATACACTACATTGAAAGCTTTGCAAAAATAAAGTTAAAATATGCCATCTCAAGCCTTATGTCAAATTAGATTTTATCTACTGGGAACCTTATTTCTAAGTATATTCCTTTAGAGAAAATGCTTGTTTGCTCTTAAAATTAAATGGCATTAGTTTCTCTTCTAAACACATAAACCTAATTTTTAAAAAATGACTTGAATAAAAACATAAAGTAACATCACCATTAAAAGGACCTTAGGTATCCACAAGACCTTAACAGACAGAACATGACTCATGTAAAATTACAGCTGAGAATGTATAACCTGTATAATGAGGAATCATCAGACAAAGCCAAAATGGGAATGAGTAATATTCTATTAAAAGTGGGGAGGGAAGTTAAAGTCAATGATATAAAAAACAAAGATAGGCTGTGGAAACATTCCAGGTTAAAGGAAGCTGAAGAGTAGTGACAATTAAATGTAACAACTGATGTGAGGCGCCTCAACTAAAGTGGAAGACCATTATAAAGGATATTATTGAGTCAAGAGACAAATGGAAATACTGATGGCAGATTCGACAAAACTATTTTATTGATGTTAAATTTACTAAAGCTGAATTTACTGAAGTTAACAATGTATTGTGGTTATATGAAAAAGAATATCACTATTCTTAGGAAAAATGCAATGTAGTATTTAGAGGTAAAATGTCATGATGTATGTTACTCAGCCTTAAATGTTTCACAAGGAAATACACAAGTATATAAACAGAGTATGTGCAATGGAATAAAATATTAATAACAGATAAATCTAGGTAAAGCATATATAAATATACTTCTTATATTATTATTCTTATTCCTGCAACATTTTAATAACTCTTGTTTTCCCAAGTAAAAATTAATAAAGAAATGAAATGAATTATTTTATGAATTATTTTAATTTTATTTTTTATTTTCTCTGTGAAAGTTCCTTGAATCACCTTCAGATAAAACTAGACCCCTCTATAAAGCTATCTGCTGTCATAAATAATTTCTTTTATTGCCCAAAGTGAACTTGTATAATGTTCCTTTTTTCTTAAGTTGGATTTGATCTGGCTGTTGAAGTCACCAAAAAAAAAAAAAAAAAAAAAACCTGCAGACAGTAGAGGCAGTACACCGCCTTGTGGCCGAAAAGTGAAAAGCTAGATGCTTTTACATCAGTATCATCTGAAGCTGAAAAAAATTCCAGACACAGATTTACAACTAAAACTACCATATACATTCAGAGTTCTGTAATACAATTTAAAGAGTTTCACTAAAGAATATAAAAGGCAAAATAGAAACAAAATAAGAAATGTCTTAAAGTATAAGAAAATTATGTGTACATACATCTTATTTCCAGCTTTAGGAAAATAAAAAATGTCACCCCCAGATAAAACATACTGTCAGAGGTAGGAAAACTAGAGGAATTCCAATTTATATTTAAATGACATTTAAATATTTCAAACACGTTAAAACCATGTCAGAATTTTGTAACAACTGGAGAAGAGATAAAGGAAGGAGGGAAAGAGAACATGGCTGGCTTGAGTTTAAGAATCTCGCAATGCTTTTTGTACTCTTTTCCATAAAGAAAAAAGAAAGAGAGTTTTAATTTTCCCAATTCTCTTCTACCATCTGCACTGCTCCTTAAAGCAGCTTAATTTACAGTTTTGACCCTGAATTATAAGAAAGCCCTAGGTCTATCCTTGGAATTTAAGTTCTCAAACCAACATCAGTCCACCTTCTTTCTTTAACCTCCAACACAGTTCTGGGCAGGATTCTTTCTTGTAACTCGAATGAGTTTGTTTTTAAATCAGAGTAATACACTGGGGAGATCTGCAGGACTTAACCAAAAAGAACCACACGTGTGAATTACTAAGGTTTATGTTTCTAAAAAAAAAAAAAAAAAAATCAATCTCCTGTCCAAAAGAAAAGTCCTGGGAAGAGACCTCAACAGAAGGATAAAAAGAAGAAAGAGAACTGCATCAGAAGGATTCTTCCCGTTCTGGCAAAAATCAGCTAACAATCAGGCAAACTAGCCTAGCGATAGGTATAACCCTTGGTTCTTTCTGCTATCCTGGGAGTAAAATAGAGGCTGAAGGAAGCCAGTCTACCAACTAAGGAGTTTTGTACTATTGAAAATGAGACACAGGCGGAAACTAGAGCATCCAAAACAATTTTGAAAAAGAATAACAAAGTTTAAGGATGCACACTATCACATTCAAGACTAAAAGGCTACAGTAATTAGGACAGTAATGGTATTAGAGAAAGGATAAACATCTAGATTAATGAAACACAAGAGAGTCCAGAAACAGATCTAACACATATATACATGGTCAATAGTTTAAAATAACATAAATGTATACCACAGCTCTGTAGGTCAGAAGTCTGGGCAGGGTCTCACTGCACTCAAATCAAAGTCCCTACAGACTGCCTTCCTTTCTGGAGGCTCTAGGGGAGAATTCACTCCTTGCTCATTTGGGCAGTCAGTTCCCTGATATGCGAGGACCAAAGTCCCTGCTGCCTGGCTGGTTGCCAGCTTCCAGTCACAAGGTCCCCTCAGGCACATCTCTTTGACCTACTCTTCTTTCCCTCTAAATTACTCAATGGGAAGATAACTGGGATAACCTGCATAATTCAGAATAATCTCCCCATCTCAAAGTCCTTAACCTTAACCAAATCTGCAAAATCCCTTTGTCAGTATGCAAAAGTAAGACATTCACAGGTTCTAGAGACCAGAGAGTCATTTTGCTGCCTACTATATGGCCTCAGATGGAGAAAGGATAACAAAGTATGGTACATCCACACTGCAGAATACCAACTACTCATCAAGGAAAAGGAAGGAACTACTGATACAGCAACATAAGCAAATCTCAATTGCATTATGCTAAGTAAAAGAAGCCAGGCTCAAAAGGCTATATACTGTACTGATCTATATGACATTCTGGAAAAAGAAATAGCATAAGGACAAAAATCAGATCAGTGGTTGTCAAGGACTGGAGACAGGAGAACGACTGGACTACAATGAGCCATGGGGGGAATTTTGAGTGTGATGGAAGGGGTCTTACTGTGGCTGCAGTGGTCGATAAATTTGTCCAAACCCATATAACTATATAATTTTTTTTAATGAATTTTGTTCTAAATTACACTTTTAATATTTTTCAAATTACGGTACTGCCAAGTCTTAGAACAAGTTCACAAAAATGAAATCACATAGTGCTCAAATGTAACCCTCGAACACCATGGAATGGAGCAAAACTATTTTTCTCAAAGCGCCTTTTCCAAACAGCAAATTAATCCATACCTCTAATGTTTCCCTCAGCAAGGTCATTACTCAAGATAGCAAAATTCAACCCTTGTTTCCATTTCTGTTCCCCAAATAATGTAATTCTAAAAATCAGTTACCATACTCCAGTTTCTCTGATCCACGACTCTCTAAGAATTTGTTCTATAAATTTCCTCTCTACAATTACAAGTTTTTGTAAATAAGGCAATTCTCTAAATGGGGGTCTCTATTCTATACAAAAGTGACTAAAGGAAACAGAGGTTCTCCTCTTTTCTTCTATCCCTATACTCCTGCTTTCAAGACTTTTCCAGTTTTAAGTTGTATGAGATCACTTTGTAAGTGCTTCATTTAAAGGGGTACAAATAGGATATGCAAACATTCTACTAACATTAAATTTGGAGTCCTATCCAAGTTTTAAGTCACAATATTGTCAATGATTAGTAGTATTTTCTGTGAAGGTTTTCTGAAAAATTTACCCTATTATTTCGATAGCCTGCCTAAAGATCACAGCCTAATAACAATTTAAAAGGATATAAGGACATAAGTAGGGTACAGGTAATCACTGCTCTTTAGAATACACACTGACTTTAAAATAACTGAGCATAATGATGGGTATAAAGAAAACAAAGACCTGGACTATACAAATAAATAAAT